GCTGTGCCTGTGACTCACCTACCAGATTTCTTCAGCACAACTGGTGAGAAAGCAACCACAGCATCATTCAACAAATTTGCAGGGCTGTGCTCCGAGGTGTACACAATGTTACACAGTACAATACAGAGATGCACACCCCTCTTGTAAGCTACAGACACCAGAAGACATGGCACTTGAGAAGTCCTTGGGTGTGAGAAAGAGCAGAGCAGCCCCTATTTCTCCACAGGTCATTTTGAGATAAAGAGCAGAGACTTGTAGTTAGGGTGTTCAACATCTGGGTCTGCTTTTTCCAAAAGGCCTCCTACGCCGTGCAGTTTTCGGACTGTGCAGTTTATCTCAAATTAAGCATGGGTGATACTGGTCTGCCTCCCAGAGATGTTATAAAGGGCAACTTATATCAAGATGAAAAAACACCAAGACTACAGTGAAGGAGCAACAGAAGCAGACCTGTCTTGTTTTTTACTCTGCAAGTTTAGTGCAGTTGTACAATTGCCCTCAATACAGGGAGATGCAAAATAAGGAGGCAGAGCTTCCTGAGGTGAAAAGATGGAGTGGGAGAGCCCTGTTCAAGACAGGGGGAGGTAAGAAGGGGCTGGAGCAGGATAGCAGCACACAGTCTATTTGAGCTTAAATAGGAAGGTCACCAACAATTGATTTTCCATTTGATAGTCTAATGAATGACAGTTTAAAATTCAGTGCGCTCCACTCTCTAAGGTGTTTTATCACCCTTTCAGAATTTTTTCTAGTCACTCTCTCTGAAAGCACATGGTGGCAAGAGTGAAGAATGCAGCCCAAAGAGCAGACACACTGAAAAACGAAGCTTGTGGGGAACATGGAGGAAAGGCAACCTAGGGAAGATGGCACTGAGAGTCAGAGGGTGAAGTGTAGGGGGAAACAGCATTGTAAATTTTGTCTGGAAACCGTTATTAATAAGTTCTGTTTTTTCACTAGTGTTGGAGAAATTAAGGTCTTGAGAACCAAAACTTTCCAGTCCTGCCCAACCCCACAGACTCAGAACTGGAGTCAAGAGGAAGCTGTGCTGCTACACAGAAAAGGAAGCTTAATAATTTGGGTTGAAGAAATGAGTGATAGGATCTCCTTTTCTATTAATGGTTATGAATCATCATTAACAATCCTTATTAAAAAAAATATTGATGTCACCAGCAGAACTCAAGCTTAGCTCTGGTATTTATTTTTCCTTCTGTGTCTTTCATCTGTCAAAACTCCCACGTTGGCACATGATAATTTTTTAGAGCTGAGTATCTCCCTGTTGGGACCAGGCCTGTTTATCTCTGATGCTCTGAGCCCAGCACCTCTGAACAGCAGCAAAGACACCGTCAGCAGGCTGGCAGACACCAGTGATACAATACTGACAGAGGATTTGCTAATTCACTCTAATCATGTCACTGCAGCAAGTTGAAACAGGTTTCAGGGCACTTCTATCAATTGTTCTCTCACAGCATCAGGACAAATAGTACATATACACCTCACTTGGGCTCTGTGATTTTTTCATCTTTGCAGTCACACTGATGACTGTCCATGTTTGTGCTCTTTGGATTTCCATCAGACACCTCAGGGCATTGATTACCAGTGGCATGATGACTTCTGGAATTTTCAAGGCTATTTCAAGCATCTCCATCCCTGGAGATTTTCAAAAATCTCCTTGCAGAAGAAGGCCCTAACCAATCTGATCTATCTTTGAATATGTCCTGGCTTAGGCAAGAGGGTTACACTAAAGACCTCCAGAGTCCTTTGCAGTCTAGATTGCTCTGTGATTCTTTGATGTCTACTTGAAAGCAATGGCATTTTGGCCTCAGAGTTGCTTTCAAGACTGGGAGATCCATGCCCTTAACTGCAGGCTCAAGGGCGTAAGAATCACAGATTAAAATTCCATCTCAGGACCACAGAGAACCAAATCTAACCCAAATTTTATATAATTACACAGTTCTACAACAGGGAAGCATTCCTGTGATTTTATAAGCAGCCATGGTCCTCCTCCAGACAGAAGACAATGCTCTAGTAAGGCATTATGCCCCTCCCTGTCCTTTTTGACAATTAAGCATTATGCTTAGATCCATCAACCGCCTTCCTTTCTTAATTATGAAATGCTTCAGAAAGTTAAGATGGTGGAAACTGGACTTAGCTAGTCTGCTCAGCATTGTATTGTGTAATGAACTGTGCCAGAAGGTCTCCCAGTCTAGCAACATCCAAGCTAGGGCCCCAGGAAGACCCAGGCTCAGCACTGCAGATCCCTCATATTGTATTTCAAGGTGTCATTCACTAGTTACAGATGCATCCCAAGTGCTGCAGGAAATAGTGGGTGTATATCTTCTGTTACTACACACTGACAGCTTCACCTTTGCTTTGCTGTGAATAAACTTGTTTCACATCCAAAAAAAGAAAGCCAAGGGCATGCCATAAGGTATGGTAGAATGCCAGGAAATTCTTATGAAAACAAACAAAAAACCAAGTATGGTTCAAGGCTTTTTAACAGACCCACAGCAAACCTGGAAGGTGATAAAGCCCTTGTTCTGCAGCTTTCAAGTCAGCTGAAAGCACTTCAAAAGACCTTTCTTAGCTGCCATATGGGAGATGGGCTGATTCATTCCTTGCTAGCTAGGCCCATTTCCCAGGCAGTACCTCTGGCACTGCGACTGTGCAGGGCCAAGAAAGTCCTCCAAAGAATATGTGAAAAAACCATTGCTACTGTGAGATCCAGAAAGCAACTAATGGCAGGAATCTGATTGCGATCAAAGTGGTTTTAGATCCTGCTCTGCTCAGTCTTGTGATGACACAAAGTGTTCCAGAACTCACCAGGTATTTTTAGAAAAAAAACAACAACCGAAAAACCAAACCAAAAAAAAACAAAAAAAAACCCCAAAAAACCCCAAAACAAAACAAAAAACCCAAACAAAACAAAAAACCAACCAACCAACCAACCCCCAAAAACAAAAATTCCCCCCCCCCCAAAAAACCAAACAAAAAAACAACAGCATAAAAGGGGGCAAGGGAGAAAAGCTGCCTTTTTTTTCTGGGCATGGCTTTGTCACTTATAAACCTGCAGAGACCTTTGCACTGAACTGGTAACTCAGGAGATAGCAGTGTTTCACAGAGGTAAAGAAGAGAGTCGCTGCCATTCAACCAGTGAACGCATCAGGTGAATGAGAAGTTGTCCCGAAAAGTGAGACACCAGCTGGGGCCAGCTTAACAAAATGAACTTGTGATGCAACACCTTCATCTTCATAAGATTTGTGGTCAATAAAGAACAGGCAACTCCTCAGGAATCCTTGCTCCAGTGGTTACAGGCTGTCTTCTTGTTGTTTTCCTATCCAGTCCATTCCAGCCAAATTTCTAGGGTTATTCAGCAAGCACGCTCTGGACAGCTTTAGACTAACATTTTTTAGGATATGCTGCAGCTGTTTTTCACATGAAGAGAAACAGCAGATATGTAGAAACCCTGGAAAGGTCTATCCATATTTCAAGTCCCCAGTCTAAAAGCAGTATAGCCAACTATATAGGCAAACTTAAATTTTCAGAAAATATGAGTCAGGTCTCCAAAATCAAAGGATTGTATGGGTTCAGGTCAAATTTAAGGACTATAGTGCTCTGACTTGGCTGGACTGAGAACCCATTCATTAACTTTTCTTGCCCAGACACAAGCAAATATTGAAGGACTGCTTCAATAGGGTTTTGTTTGTTTGTTTGTTGTTTTTTGAGTTTTTCTGATTTTGTTTGTTTGTTTTTTAGTTCAGGGTGCGTTTCTCATACTTGTTTTTCAAATAGTTTTTCCTGCTCCACAGCTTTCCCCATGCCTTTGAGGTCTCCTGTGAAGTACTCAGGGCTGCAGTGGAGCACAGATGTCTGCAGCACTAACATAACTGAGCTGAAATAACTAGAATTCAACAGAATTACATTTAAACCAAAGGTTTCAGAAACAAAGGGTATGGGCTATCTTATATGCTAAGTCTTGCTAAAAGAATCAAGGCATATCCCTACTCACACAAGTTAAAAAAAAAAAAAAAAAAAAGGCTGTCACTGGATCATTAACCCTTCAAAGGTTTTATGTTTCTCTTAATGGAAATTTTTCACAGAGGCTGAAAACACGTGCTCATGATTTGCCCTGGCAGGCAGTGCAGCTCACCACGGGTGGCACAGCTTACTGAGGGCTCACCTCATCTTCCCTCTGTCATCACAGCACACCTTTACAGAATCCAAATCTCCGGCTGACGTGGAAATCACAAATTCGGGGTGCAGCTGTTCGAGCCGGTACCTCCAGGACAGCGGTACTGAAGCCATCCAACAGGGTTTCGCCACCCCCCGCCAACCCCTGCACGCCGGTGCCAGCGCACCTCGCGTTTCCCTGGGAAGCGGCGAGTCCCTGAGGAGTTATCCGGCGGCGGCGGGAGGACGGTGACACCTCGCGGTCCGACGCCCTCATTGCCTCGGCCGGGACGGACCCGCTGTGGGTTACGGCGGTGCTTTCCCAGCGCCCGGCGGCCGGCACGGCACGGCACGGCACGGCCCGAGGCAGGGACGGCTCCGTGAGGGGAAGGGCCCCCACAGCAAAGGGAAGGCTCCGGGGTGACCGGGCCGCGGCATTCCAGTACCGGAGAGCCGACAACACAGCTGGAGGGTGGCTTATTGCAAGGGCATTCAGTGACAGGGCAAGGGGAGTGGATTCAAACTGGAAGAGAGCAGAGTTGGATTAGGTATTAGGAAGGCATTGTTTGCTGGGACGGTGGTGAGGCACTGTAGCAGGTTGCCCGGAGAGGCTGGGAATTCCCCGCCCTGAAAGTGTTCGAGGTCGGGCTGGACGGGGCTTTGAGCACCCTGGTCTGGTGGGACGTGTCCCTACCCATGGATGATCCTTAAGGAGCCTCCAGCCTGAGCCATTCCGGGCCCCCTCGCGCCGCCCGCTGCCGCCGGCCCGCGCACGCGCGGCGCGTTGCCCGGGAGACGGACGCCGTTACCGCTCCCTCAGGCGCGCCCGCCCCGCGCGGAGCCGGAGCCGCAGCATGGAGCCCACCGTGGTGCCCGTCCGAGCGACCGAGCTCACCGCGCCCGCCGACGGGCCCTACAGCTTCTCTAGCCAGCCCCGCTCCCTGCCCTCCCGCCCCAAGTACCGAGAGCAGTCCAATGCCGCCGAGACGTGAGTGCCGGTGTCCGGCGGGCCGCTGCCCCGCTGCCTTTCCGCGCCTTTCCCCTCGGCCCAGCTCCCTCCCCGAGGAGCGCAGCCTCCGCTGCCTTGCCTTTCTCCCGCCGGCCGGGGGGAAGCCGCAAGCGGCGCTGTCTGTCTGTGCTGTGCCGCAGGGAGAAGGCCCCGGTGCGCTACGGCAACATCATGATCGACCCGAGGGTGGTGCGCGGAAACGTTCTGTCCTTCCGTCCTCCCCCACCGCAGGTACTGGGGTTCCTTAAGTGCATCATGCTGCAGTTTTGTTGGAAAGCCATAGGTAGGGCAGCAAAGCTGTTCCTCATCTATAATTTTAACTACCGAAGCTGTAATTCTACTTGCAATGTTTCACGCAGTCACAGGCTCTCCGGTTAAACCAGCCTGTGTCTGCTTCCAGCTCTTCTTTAAAGCACTCAGTTTCATATGAACTTCTGCAGTTCTGATTTTTTTACCCCCCATTAAGTACTTGATGCCTTTATTTTCTTTCTCTGTTTCTTTAGGGTACTGGTCCTGAGCACAAGTCATTACTCGATAATCTGTTGTCATATGCAAGGTGTCCTCAGGGGGAATTGCAGCTCTTGGGAAGTTGAGTCGTGGGGTAGACTTTGATTTATCCTACCACAGAAGCAGAGCTAAATGGTCCAGCTGTATGCAAAAGCTGCTTGTGAGGATGCCAAAGCATTTTGTTTGTATTACTGCTATATCCTGATATAATAGTAAATCATAGAATCTTAGAGTGGTTTGGGTTGAAAGGGACCCTAAAGATCATCTAGTTCCAACCCCATGCCATGTCCCATGGGCAGGGACATCTTCCACTGGTCCAGGTTGCTTGGAGTCCCATCCAAATGTGATACTTTGTTTTCAGAGAATATTTCTACGTAGATAATTTGATCACATATGAATTTAAAGCAGTATTTTAAAAAGCTACTGTTTGAAAATAGCTTTGTGTTTTCCAGTAGCCATTTCTAAGAGTGAATTTTATGTAAGTTTTTTTTTATGAAGTTCAGTGATATTTATCTGATGTTTTCTGACGTTTATCTCAATCTATAAGTAGAATATTGAATTTAAACATTATTATGAGTTTCTTTTGTTTCATCAGCAATAATTGGACTATAATTTTTATATAGCAAGCAATTATGTTCATAATATGATAACTGGACTTAAGTCTGTTTGGCCTCTCAAAATTTGAAAACATACCATTTTAATATACTTTATCTAACAAAGTTCTGTATACAATATTCACTTTCAATTAAGAAACTAATTAATTATTACTCTGAGCATTAGGTGCCATTATTATGTACTTGTAGGCAGCTAGCATAACTTATTAATTTCATGCTATATATATTTCACTCTTTAAGTCTGTGAAAATTTTGGGCCAGGACCCAGGAAAGTAAATCCAAAATACTAGATAGCTAGCATTAAAATCAAAGAGCAGCCTTCATTTTTCTGTAGAGGCAATTGAATATAATTTTCAAGTACAAAGTGTATTCTGTTTTGTGGGTATCTTTCTTCTTCACCCCTGCTCAGAGTACCGAGTCCCATACCCTTGAGGTTAAAAGGCAGAGGAGAGCACAGAAACAGCTACTGGCCAGAAAGTTTACACAAGAGCAAGTTCAGCCAGGAACGCCGGAGCCTGTGGAGGGCAGAGAACATGTTTACGTGCAGACAGGTAAAAGGCTGCATTTTTTTATATCTGTCTGAAAACAAAAGCTTGTTGATCTATATTCACTTGCTAAATTGGTGATGAAATTGGTAGAATCACACAGTTTAAAATCATAGAATGCTGGAATTAGAGGTTCTAAACTTGTTTAATTAGTGACATTTTCCCAGGAGGTCTATTTTAGAGAAATTCCATATATGCATAAAATGGAAGGTTTTAAAACTTTTGCTTAAGGTGAACTACTGTTTTTGGAGCACTTCCATGAAGTGCACCTGACATTACAGAGAACACAGCATCAGGTGGCCTTTGCAGCAGACTGACCTATGTTTTGAGAAGCCTTTTTTCTAACTTTCTAGAAAGCATTTTATTGCACTCTTTGGATGTAATTCAGAATATAGAGTCATCAAAACCAGTTGAAAGCTAAAATGAAAGGAATCCCACTTTAACTATTCATTGTGCTTTTGTTTCTAGAACTGTATTTGGAAGAGATTAGTGATCGGATAATAGAGGTTGATGGAGAGTGTCAAACAGATGAATTTTTGGACAGACCACCCACTCCACTCTTCATACCAGCCAAATCAGGAAAAGATGTGGCCACTCAAATCAAGGAAGGAGAGGTATGAAATCAGGTCCACAAGTGCTGTCAAAATATCTCTCCTATCCAAAACACATTTCTGATGCAAAATTGAAGTAGAAACAGAAAAGAGCTAATCCTCACAGAACATGCCAAAAAAAAAAAACCAAACCAAACCAAACCAAACCCACCCAAACCCAACTCACCAATGTCTGCTTTGAGGTTAAGGGCAAAATTAAGGAAGATGTGTTGCCACATGCACTGGTTCTGCTGCTGTCAGCTAAGCGATAGTGTTGAGAAATGCTCTCTTCTGTAAAACGTCCAGCCCAAGAAGTGACTGGGAACACAGAAATACAGTCTAGGCAAATGCTTAGCTTCTCCCTGGCAGTCCCCACAGGGGCTGTGGGAGGCTGTGTGGTGTCTCAGGCCAGCCCACTCACCACTTAACCCCCAGCAGCACTCGTGATTCTCTCTGCCTTAGCTGACACTGGTCCCCCACCTGCACTTCTCCATCCTGGCTTCGGTACAAGGGCTTTGTTCATCCTCCTTTTCTCCTTGCCAATCCTTGTTAAGAGTAATTGTGATCAAGGGACATTTATCTCTTGTTTCTCTGACTCCCATCCTCAGCTGTTTGACTTTGATATTGAAGTTAAGCCAATCCTGGAAGTGTTGGTTGGAAAAACAGTTGAGCAGGCTTTGCTGGAAGTCATGGAAGAAGAAGAGCTGGCCCAGCTGTGGTCACATCAGCGTGCCTTCGCAGAGCTGCGTAATGCAGAGTTTGCTGAATTACAGCGCTTGGAAGAGCAGGACAGGCGAATCAGAGAGGAGAAGGTAGGACTTCCTAAGGAACTTCCTGTCAGAAGGGAGAAAAACATTTCCAGTGCTGAACAACAGCCTGTGATATAAGTTGGGTTTGCCCAAGAGGGTACTGTCAGCTTTGACATACCTTAAAGCATTTTGATGACATACAGCTGCACTCTGCCACTTTCTCTCATACAACAGCACCACAATGTTGTGTTTATTTGGAGCAGTCATGCTTGAGTGACTTGGTGTAGTTGACCTGCTCAAAAGGTCAAAACCAAGAGCATTTTCTTGTGTACTTGGTACAGCTGTTTCTTAAGCCTTTTTGTTATAATAAGTGCTAAACAAATAGTCAGAATGCTTGGAAGTAAGAGAGACACCTCCTGGTCTTTCACACACAATGCATGCTCTACTCTGTGTGTACGCATACATCTCAAGATAGCAAAGTATTGTGACATATTAGTAATATTTAGTAAATAGGAATAAACAGAGAAGGCAAGTGTTAATTACTTACTAATTTTCAGCCCTGTATAATTGTGTTTTCTAATGGTTTCCTGAACCAACTTGAGTTTTAATCTTTTTGTATGTGCGATAGGATCTAGTATTGGAAGATAAAAAGTTTGGGAAATACTTATCCAAACTACATTGTATTCCAAGGCAAATAACCAGCTTGATCTGCAATAATAAAGCAAAAAGTTGTGAGATTAATGTATACTAAGGCATCATATAAGGGTCTTTTGGCCAGCTCTGATGCCCTTATTTTGCAGACTTGTCAAATTCAGAAAAGGAATACTACAGAAATGTGTTTCTCTGTAATTTGGGATATTTTAAGACTCCATAGGTTAAGTACAGACTTGCTTTGAAGCACTCTTTCATGTGAGGAATTTCAGTAGAAGTTAGAGGCAGCAAATACCAGGTAGTGATCATAATTATCTGTACTTTTTACTATCTTTGATATTTATGGGACACACACTGTGATAATTCTTCAAAATCTAGATCAAAGGAGTCACAGCTAAAGGCCTCTAAGTTTTACATGCATAATTGCCTTGACAGGAACGTCGCAGGCTGGAGCACCTGGAAAAGCTGCGGAAACAGAAAGAGACTGCAGAGAAAATTGCAGCTCGGGCATTCGCTCAGCGTTACCTGGCTGATCTCATTCCTTCAGTCTTCAACAATCTTCATGACAGTGGATTTTTTTATGACCCTATAGAAAGAGGTTTGTTTTGTTTTTTCTTTTTAAATATGTGAGCAAAGTCATATAATGCTCAAAACAACTGTGAAACATAGCATACTATCCTATTATTTAGAATAATATCATAAGACTATTCATTTACATTTGTGGCTGAACACAAAATCCATTATTGCTCATCTGTACAAATAGTGAAGAATAAGCAAGAGCTGACAGTGTGACAATGAGAAGAGCTACTTTGGAGCTGGACAGAAATAAATGGATGGTTAGGATTGGGAGAGAGATTCAAACAGAAGTACATGTATTTTTATAGATCAGACAAATCAGTATGTCATTCTGAATATTTTTTAATGATTATCAGAGCAAGTGACTAATTAGTCACTTCTAATTAGTCAATTAGAATTAGGCCCTGAAAATAATTTTGGAATTGTATATCAGTGACTTCCAAGCCCTTAGAATCAGCAGCATTTCTTATGAGCTACCTTGCTGCACCCCACTTCACCAGTCTCCACACTGGCACAGACACAGCTTGGGAATGGTTACACTCTCTCCAGGGTAAATCATGAGGTCAATGCAGAAAGGGAGTGTGTTTTGCAACCAGGGCAGGCTTTGGGATCACAGTGTACAAAAAGTATCATTTGAGAAATACATAAGTAAGCAAGAGCTCCTTAGTCAGACAGAGCAAATGCATTCAGCAGACCAGAAGCCAAATGTCTTTGGAAAGAAAGGCAGGAAATGTTATTCTTCTGACTTGCTCAGGATAGTTATTTTGATCCCACTAGAACATGACTGTGTATGGGGGGGTGGGGGGCGTATCATCCCTTAATTGTTGTAGCAAATAAAAAACAACCACCAAGTCCTGTTGGTCATCCTTTATAAAGTGACATTTCCCCTTTGTTTCTTCCTGCTGAATTCTGACAGATATTGAGACAGAATTCCTTCCATGGCTGATGTCAGAAGTGGAAGAAACACTACAGAAGAAGGTTCTGGGAAGGACAATGCTTGACTGTAAGTCGCCAAATCCTGGAATGTAATCTGGGCTGCCTGATGTTCTTGATTGTTTTTTTTGCTGGTCAGAACAAATGTCACATTTATATGGTCACTGTGGGTTAAGGTAGGAAGTGTCATTTTAGGAAAAGTACCCATGTTTTTTTGTGTTAGGGGTTTTGTTTGTTTGTATTTGTTTGTTGATTTGGTTTGGTTTTTTTACTATATTAACATGTTTTAATGTTGGAAAACTACTACTACATACAACTAGGTAACTGATTTTCAGCTGAAACAATGGAAGTGTTAGTCATGCTGCACTACCCACTATCTTCTGACTTTATACTGTTTGAGATTTGTTAATGCTGGGAGATACAACACCTATGTTAGGAACAGAATGGTTAAAGAACATATTTTTTCTGCTGTAAAGCTTCTACTTCCTCTGTGTTACACAGCCACCACTGCTTTAGTGTTCTCTGTAGCACACCTGATTGTGCCAGTGGGAACAGAAAAGCCCATCCTGTGTACTGCCACATGTATACCATGAAAATTTCTTAATTTTCTTGTATAAGCTCATGGAGCTATGGATTATTTTCCTACATTGAAAGGAGGATGATGGCGGGCCATGGTTGACTGAGAAGTGACCAATATTTTTCCTCAAAACAAGGGCTTACCTCCTTATCAGTCAATAGTCTTGGCCTTGCTTATGAAATAGATTGAAATATCAGTCTTCTTTGGCTAGTTCAAGCTAAATATTTGGGCTCTTTTCTTAGTTTAGAGGCTGCAGTTGAAACACCTGAAACACCTGGATTCTGTCTTGTGTAGAAACACAAAAGTATGGTGTATTTGTGCTCAGCAGTGCGCTCCTAGATCAAACCACTTTTTTACACTTGAATAACATCTTCATTAAATAGTTTTCCTCTTGCTGGGATTTTGGGTTTGTATTACAATTATGTTTGCTTCATTTTGTTTATTTTTAGTTTAATTAGGACCCTGAATTTTACTTGTTAAGGTATAATATGATTTGGACAGTTAAAGCCGGTGCGTTAGGTATTTTATGCTGATACATGTACACTCAAGGATCACTTCTTCATGTAGCTCTTCAGAAGGAAGGGAAATGTCTCTTCTTTAAGAAAAAAATACTGTATGTGACTACTGAACAAGCATCCTAAAGAGAATGTTGCTGCAGGATATAATATTGATGAGAATATCTATCGTGTTCTTGTTAAATCCGTTGAAGTTTTTAACCAGATACCATTTTATTGCTCCAGTCCTTAGATATTTCTTCATTTTCAGAGTTATTTCAGGGTTATTTCCCTATTTAGGGATTTATAGGTCTGTAATATATTCAAAAAATTCTCAAATTGTAGGGTTTTTCCTCTGTGGTTGTAAATGGTGGCTATCTCTGTTTCAGCTTTGATTCGTACCGTGGTTGAAAAGCGCTTAGATGAATTTAGCCATCCACCTCCATCTGCTCAAACAAAGGCACCAGCTGAAGAGCCTGGGGCAACAGATGCAGCTCCCAAGGTGTCTGGGGAGGCAGGTGCTGCTGACCAACCAGTTGCTGAGAAAGAGGAGACTGACCAACCTGTTGCTGAGGAAGAGCCTTCAGATTCCACCTCTTCTTAGCTAGAAGAATAAGGTCAAGAAGGAACAGCAGATTTGGAAACTGAGTAACAAACAGGCAAGTCGTCAAGTTAATGGAGACCAGTGGCTTAGAAATAAGGACTTAATTCCTATCTATTTACAGGTATTGTGCCCTAGCCATGCTGAAGGATGAACCTAAGCAACAGTAGAGCATTAAAACATGTTTTCCCTATGCTGGAGTTGCTGATTTCAGGCTGATAGAATCAAGAGAGAAGTTACTAGTGCAATGAATGGCACAGAAATTCTGTCTCCTTTTACACAATATAATCCATCAAAACCTGTGAGGTTTACAGTTGAAAAGTAATGCTGTCCCACACCCTATGCTAGCAGGTCACGAGAAGGATGTTGAGAGTATCATAATAATCTTTGCAAGTGCTTTGATAATGTTCTTGGAACAATATTTCCTTACTTTCTTTATTTTGAAAGGTAGTTACTACAGCAATTAAATAAATTGCTTTTGATTCATGTTAGTCTTTCCTTTCCTCACAAACTTGAATGGACATCTCAGCAGGTAATAGAGCCAAAGCAGCTGTTCCTCAAGCTTGTCAAGTTCAAATAGTTACCTGCCCCTGGGAATTTCTGCCTGTGCAAAATCGTCCTCAGCATCCTCTCTTAGAGCCCCTCCTGGAGGTGAGGGGCTGGTTCTACATGCTAAGTCCAGTCTCGGTTTTCTTTGTAATCGTCCTTTCCTGTCGGTTCACTGGAAACAGTACCAGACATGACTGACAAAATGTGCCTTCACTGCCTTGTGTAGTTAGTTGTCTGTTCACAGGCCAGTTCCTCGGGTGGGACAGTCCCCGTGACAGAAGTACATCTGGGCTACATTGCAGCAACACCGTGTCGGTGCTGGGTCAGTGCTCCCAGCAGCAGCTGTCCCCGGCAGGCACGTAGGGCCGCAGGGTGGACAGCTCTGCACCCACGGGGGCACGGGGGGGTGCACGGGGGTCTGCAGCTCCTGGGTGCGTGAGTGCAGGAGGGAGCGGAGAGAAGCCAGAGGATGCGGGCGCTGTAGGCACTAGAGGGCATGACAGCCCGCGGCAATCCGGCTGGAGAAACGCCGGGAAGGACACCGCTGGTGTCACCTTTTCACATTGTGCACCCTGCACTAGTGACGCCCTTCTGAACTTCCCTCCTCTGCTGAATCCCAGAACTTTTGCAAAATTTACTCATTTACAGCATGAGGAGCCAATACTTGAATCACCCAGTGCAGTCCACACTGGCTCATAGAATGACAGAGTAGCTGGAGTTGGAAGGGGCCTTATAGATCAACTGGTGCCACGCCTGCCCTGAGCAGGGACATCTTTAAGTAGGTCAGGTTGCTCAAAGTGCCATCCAGCTTGGTGGTAACGGAGAAGGTGGAATCATCTCCTCAGGGCTGACTCGTGACAGTAAAAGAAACAGATACTAGTCGCTTCAGGGGAAGTGCATACACTGCCTTCCCCTTCGGCCTGCTGGGGTGCGAGTCTGACGCTGAGTCCCAAGTAAAGGAAGCAAAACCGGGACGTGTGTGCAGGACGTTCTAAATACTGTGAGTTGCCTTCCCGGGAAGTTGTTAAACACCAGCAGTGCAGGTCAGGACGTTCTGCGGATCCTCACAAGCACGGACAGCCGCGGCACCCGCATTCCCCTGAGAACAAGCTTCCCGCTAGCGCCGCCGCACAGCGAGCGCCCGAGCACGGCCGGCGGAGGAGCTGCATCCCCGGGCCGTCCCGCGCTCCGCTCGGGGCTCACCCCCCGCCCCGTCCCGGCGCTCCGCAGGGGCGGAGCGGGGAGGGGACGCGGCGTGGCCGCCCCTCGTGCCGGCCCTCCCCCGGCCCGCCCGCCAGCGGGGGGCCCGCTCCGGGCGGGGCGCTGGGGGGCGGGCGCCGAGCACCGGGGCTGTCGGACCGGGCCCGCCGCCGCAGGAAAACTGTGTCACAATGTGTCCGACTTCAGGAGGAGAGTTTCGTCTTTACTTATTCATATTCCTCTTCTCCCCCTCGACTTTCCTCACGCCCCGGCCGTGCAGGATCTCCCGCTTGTCCGCCCGCAGCGCCGATCACCGGAGCCCCGGGATGGGCGCCCGCCCCGGCCCCTCTTGCCTCTTGGCACAGAAAGGCCGCAGGACCGCGAATTTGGAGGAGGAGGGGACATCTCCTCATCTCTCCTTTGTGCCTCTCTCCAGCCCCGCAGCCCTCACGGGGCTTTCAGGGCAGAGCGTGGGGCAGCGGGCGGTGCGGTGACCCGCGTGCGGCGGTGGCACCCCCGTGACGAGAGACACGCACGGGTCGTGGTCCGGGAGGTTTGTTCCCGCGTGGAAAAACAACTGCGGCTCCAAAGCTGCTCCCGCCGCTCGCACACGGGTCTCGTCGCCTGCATCAAACCCCCCGCCGGCAGAAGCCGCCGCAGCACGATTTACACAGTTTTCCATCTCTCTGCAGGAGGTGACAGCTTGCCGAGGTCAAGCCTTGAGCTGTCATTGACTCCTACGGGACACACAACTTTTTAATTTTTTTTTTTCTTGTGTGGAAGAGGGATTTACTACATTTACTACATTTACTACATACAACTACCTAGGATTTGTTTTTTTTTTCTTAAAGTACTTAACTTGGTTAAAATTTAACTTTTGCTTTTTTTTTTTTTTAATTTCTCTATTAGAAGCTTCTGTCACTTAGTCAAATGACAGTTCATTTTTGAGAAAGGTGGATATTGGACAGCCAAACTTTCTCTGAGGGCTGTTGCTTCCTGTCTGACTTTAACACAACAAGTATGTTCCACCTTGCTGTGCATAGCCAGTAAGGCAAACTGCTTTTATAGAAGGTATTTAAAGTAGTTGATGAAGAGCAAAAATACTAGCTGCCTTTACAATACGAGTTAAAACACAATCTTCCCACCTCAGTTGATATTTTTAATTTATAAACAATTATATAGGACAGAATCCAAGCCATGTTTTGGGTACATGATATATCTACATGCATGTTTGTCTGTGGCCACTTTGTCTAACATGATGAGGATCTTCATGAATAAATAGAAATGACACATACTCCTCTTTCCAGGAATCAGTAGGAGAGGATGTGCCTGGCATTATTACCAGGAGATTAGCAATCCAGCTCTGACAGAATGGGGAAGAGGTTTCCAGTCTGAACACTCAGATTGGATTGCATTGCAGTCGTAAAATTAACATCAGCAGGTACAACCTGATTCTTGGTTGTCCCAAAGCTTAGCAGAAAATCTGGCTGTTTAAGTCTGAGACACCTAAGTACATGCAGCAGCACAAGGTGTCAAGCACTCCTGTCCCTTCTTGGCACTTTGCAAGAGTTTTTTGTTGTGAGGTCTTCAGTATGCCAGTGACCCTGCAACATCTCTGCTGTGCTCTGACCCTTCGTCGGGGAGAAATAAAGATGCTGTCATTGGGAATTTCCCTTCACTGGTCCTTCCTGTCCCTGTTGTTGGTTTGGAGAAGCAGCACAAGGAGCACCGCTCCGCCTCTGTGCATGGGGAGTGCTCACATGGCACAACTCAAAATGGGTTGTGCGGGGCAGGTGGCTCTGGGTGGAACACGGGGAGTTGTGCTAAACAGAAGCACAGGTACAGTCACAGGATCGGTGACAAACTGTGTTCTTATTCCTCGATTTTGTTGTGTGTGTTTGCTGCCCTGGTGCCACTGTATCTGCAGTATAGTTTCCACCATTAGTGTGTTACTTGCCCTGAATTGTAAGTCAAAGCAGTCAAAATCTCATTTGCAAACCTAATGGGAGCTGAAATAGATCCTGGAGTACTGTAACTGTGTAATGGGCTGACCGGCACCACTTTTTGAATTGTTCAGTGCTCTGACATATTAATAGGAACTGGTGGTTCTGATCATGCAGATGCTGAAAATTGATAATAAGATTATTTGTGTAAGAAGCAGAAGACGGGACAAGTGGGAATAAAAGAGAGAAATAACATTACAAGGACTGTACCAGTTCCTCTGGACCTGTGTATCAGAGTGAGAACATTAGTGGAAGGTTTGGAGAATTCGGTACAAAAAAATCACATAAATACCAGAAAATAATTATTTATTTCCTAAAGGGGGCCATTAAATAATGTAGTTTATTCTCTAAGTTTAACCAGGGCAGGTTACAAATCCATGCTCTCTAACTAAAGGCAATAACTTCAATTTCCTCTAATTTCTATAATTTTCTCTGCATCAAGAACCTCCTGTTGTGAAGTTCTGTGAGCACTTGCATGTCTTCTCTCAGTGCCTGCCCTTCTGCCAGGACTCTGTGGAAAGGAAGCACCATAAGATAATTCCCTTCCTCTTGACTATTGAGACACATTTAATCTACAGTGCATTGCCAGTGCTGGGACCTGATCTGCTGTCCCTCTGTCAACTTCCTAATTTCTTGAGTGATAATTAAACCCCAAAAAACATCAACTCCCACCCTGCCCATAAGTGAATACACACACTATATTTAAGGCAGTCATTGTAAGTTTGATGTGTTTGAGCACTTGACCTTACACCTAACTTTATGAATCTAAATTGTCCTCTTCAGTAAGAGCTATGTGGCCCAGAAGATGTTTTCAAAACTAGAGTATTGCCAGCTAGTTCCCTACTGGCCCCTCTGAGCTTTTATTTTAAGATGTTCCTGCTTTCAAAGATAAGCATGAGGCCAACAAGACTGCTCCAAATACCAAGGGAACAGCAGTCACACACTTCACACTTCTACTGCAGCCTGTGCCACCGTGCAGGCGGCTGCATCATTTAATTGTCACTAAACCCAGAAGAATCGGATTGTTCTTTTCTTGTGTTGCGTGGAAAGAAGTAGGAAATCTCTGTGAATGATGCCAAGGATACTGCTATTTTGTGATAACTAGCAGGAAATAACAAGAGTTAGGACAGAAAGAAGGTCAGTTGAATTGAATTCTGTATGGGAAAATCTTGAAAGTTGATCATAAAATTTAATTGCACACGTATCCTGGAGATAATCAAATAAATATTTTTCTTCTGATTTTGCTTTTTTTGCTGATTTATCTCTATGTTCCAATGCTTTCTTCTGTAAATGGACTATTTGCAATTTGCTGTGAAAGAGTGTTTTGGGTTCCAGATGTCTCTGACATGGCAATCCAGAAGCAAGAGCTATTTCCAATGGACTTTACTGTCTCTATGTTTTTCACATTTCCTCTTTTCTCTTGCTTTGTCTGCTTGTACTGATTGATCTTTTGTAAAGTGGCATGAGTTTCAGTGCTAAATAAGGATCAAGGATGCATATGTAAACTAGTTCTGTCTTGGAGGACGGAGTAAATCTTCTTTTATCTTTCTGTGTCTTGCACCTAGAGCACTATTTTAGAAGCCGTTTCACAAACAACCTGCGATAAAAAAATAAAAGCTTAGGAAAGCACTTAGGAAAATATTAGTGTAGCGGTATCTAACCTGTGCTAACATGCACAACACCAAGCAAATGTAGTACATTGAGCAATATTAAACTTTGCTCTTCCACTCACTC